ACAGGAAATATTCCTTCCCTTCTGTGACCTCTAATCATTCTGAATATTTTTAAAATTCTGATCTCAAGTAGTATTTTCACATATGCTTTTTAAGTTCTCTGAAAATACTCAATGTGGATCCTTTGAAGATCAGATCTCTGGAGTTCTGTCTTTCTGTAGCTGTCTCCTCTCTGCTACTCTGACCTGTGAATTCTAGCTGCCTTGGTTTCCCTGGACCCCACTTCCATCTCTGCAACTTATGGAGACCCCAGGTTCTGCCTGGCTCCCCTGTGACATGGTAATTGCCCCATAAATGGCATACCTTGGCCATACCTCGGCTTTCTATTGAAACTGCTCTGCTCTCTGTAACCCTAATTTGACAGGCAAGCAGTCCATACCAACGCCATTTTGGCCCTTGCACCATTTTAAGAAAAACTAGGACTTGTAATAAGTAACTAAGGTCTGTAATTTCCACCCTACTCAGACAACGTGTAAACTAACTCTTATCTCGACTTCTGTTAACCACTTAAGTAACAATCGGAATGTCCAGAGGCCACTGGCCCTTGGAATGTCCAAAGCCCCTCACCTTCACCCCTGCCCAGGAGGTGGTTTACGGGCATAAAAAGTCTTGACACCCTCCTTTCAGGGCCACAGGTTAGAGAGACGCGAATCCTCCGTGGCCGCTGGCAATAAAGCCCCTGTAATTTGGCCTAGTCTTTGTCTCAGTGGTGATTTCGCTCGCTTAATTACAACACCCCCAACCCCTGTGCGCATTGTAGAAATTCCCAGGCAATAAGCAGGGAGTACTCACCTTGCACTCACCTTGTTTGCGTCCTATCTCTCAGGGATCACTATTTTTCATTGCCTCATATCCAATGCCTTGAAATGTTTTTAAAGTTATCTTTTCAGATCAGGAATCTCTGAAGAAAAAGAAAAAAATATATTTTGTCCATTTCTTTGTTGTTGTTCATTTCACAGATGGAAGCGTAAATCTATTTTGTTACTCCACTGTATTTGGAAGTAAATTTAGAAAGTATTTTTTATTTTGAAACATGAGTTAATGTACTTTTCATAATTTTTCCTTTTACCCTTTTTGCCCTTTAGCTATTACTCCTCATTTAAGAAGCTGTTAGCCATAACGAATCACTGTATGACACTATAACTTAACAAAAACCCTCAGGACTTAGATGCACTATAGTGAAAGAGGAAAATCCCTGAATTAAAGAGAGTACATTTCTTCCAATACAATACAATATATTTAAGTTATATAACTCTCTACATATTGCAGAGAAACGTTGCAAAACATCGCACACCCTTGAGACACATGGCATCTTAGGAAAGCAATGTTTGTTTTGGTGGGGGGGAATGGAAGATTGATGATGTATGAATTTTTAGCCATCTTGGATTGAGGCGATAATGACTTATTAGAAACGGGTATGGGTGAGAAGATATCATAACTTTGGATTCACATGGAAATTCCCATGGAAGTTGAAGAGGCCCCTGAGGAAATGAGTTTAGAGTGATAATAAAAAAAAGAAATGGTAGGAGGAAGTAAGGTGTGCCAGGAAGTGGAGAAAGAACATTCAAAGTAATTGGCAAACAAAGCAAGTCAGGGTTTGCAGAACAGAGAGTTTTAAGAAGTGGGCTGTTGGTGGTATTTTGGGTATAGAGGGCATGTTATATTAGGATGGAAAGTTCCCAGCATGCATGCTGACATTCCTGCCTACTGCATCCTTAGCAGCCAGGATTGCAGTACAATGGCATTCCTTGTCATTGGGCCCAGACATGTCCTCACAAGTCTCCTCAAGACGGTTTTCCAAGTTTGCAAGATGAGACTTGTTTAGTTTATTGGATCTAATGTTAGGGACTCTCTCTTTCATACTTACACCTTGCCTGCAAGCCAAGCCAAACGAATTTCCAGTCCATTTTTCTCTATTATACAACTTGAAATATCTCAATTGATAATAATGTTTTATATTTGTATAATGCTTCACCCTTTATAAGGCATGGTTATATCTTATATAGATCTCAAAATAGAAATGTTCAGATGAGCAAAAATTATAGTCATAATTTGTGGCTGATATAACTGGAAATAACAGGTTAAATGATTTTCTTAACACTGTACACCTACAAATTAGCAAAATCAAGAGAAAACAAATATATCTCTGACTCCTAGTTGTATTCTGCTTCAGCTTAACTGGTTTTTGTCATTGTGTGGATAAGAGTTCTATTTTTTTATTCTCTGCTTTCCACCCTGAGTTCTGTAACACAGATGAGGCAGAATTGCTTTGCTTACCTGTGAAGGAATATCATTATTCAGAGGGCTACTTGTGAAGATCACTTGATTACTCATTGTACATTTGCTATTTTCTGTATGTTATTTCTCATAGCAACTCTTTAAGGTAAATATTATATTATTTTATGCATGGGAAAACAGAGGCTTGGAAAGTCCAAATAACTTACCCAGGATGAGACCATTGGTTGGTCGGGTTGGAATTATAACCATCATCCCATGATGAACTAATTCTATTAGGCCTTTCCTGGGCATCAGTCTCTCTAGGACTAAGACTCTGCTGATAGCTATTTGTTCCTTAGTTATTTATACTTCAGACATTTATTTGGATGCTCAGACCCCATGCAAGGAACCATGAGAGGTGTAAGGGATAAGAGAATGAATGTTTGGGCCTTCTGTGAATTCATGGTCCACACACTGTCCTCTGTCTGAGACCCATTACACCTAGACCATTATTGTTCCTTGACTTACAAAGCAATTAATTACACTGGAAAAGTCAAAGTGGCTTTTGGTGTTTCATAATTAATCCTGGCACCTTGATTCTTCACTATTATCTTTCTCTGTTTGGAGCCTATGTAGATGGGAGCAGAATCTGGAGAGCACCAAACCTTTTAGCAGCCTGATCTTTGCTGGCATAAAAATGTCCTTATTTCACTGGTGCAAATTTTGTCCCTTGAGGGTAATGTCTGGGCAAACTGACAATGTGTGGGTGGTTATCATCACCATCTGCATTTTGCCTTGTAGGGAATCTTAGAGTAGCACCAGCTGTTATATATGATTTTGGGAAGTTCTGAGTCCTCAAGGAAAAGCACAACATAAGGACAAAATCCTCTTGCTATAAAGAGAATATAAGTGTATAAAACCTGGGGGTGGAGTGAAGGGCAAAACGATTTCTACATTTGTTATAGTTAGAGTTTGCTTTTGTGAATGCCTAAGTACTGGCAAGACAAGAGAAATGCATGTAAATTCAGAACATAAAGTCATGAAACTTGTATTTGTGTTTGGCTAGTGGGAAAATATAATCACAGTAGGCATTCAAACTTTCCACCAAAGTTTCAAAAGAGAAGAGTAAACGCAGAATTCCCAGGGTCTGTGTTTCCCGGGGTCAAAGCTAAGTCCTCATCCTATGGTAAACTTGGAATGAAATAAGCCTGAGCAATTAGCTCTCATCTAATTTGATCCTTCGTCCCTGGCAGGACTGAAGGTTTATAGTGATGAGCTGTCCAGAAAAAATGGTTATCACATTTAATTTTCTTTAACTTCTATCAGAAAAGGAAAAGTAAGCAATACTTTTATCTCTTTTGGAATACTATGCAGCCATAAAAAGGATTAATTCATGTCCTCTGCAGGGACATGGATGAAGCTGGAAACCATCATTTTCAGCAAACTAACACAGGAACAGAAAACCAAACACTGCATGTTCTCACTCCTAAGTGGGAGTTGAACAATAAGACACATGGACACAGACTGGGGAACATCACACACTAGGGCCTGTGGGGGGGTAGGGGCATAGGGGAGGGATAGCATTAGGAGAAATACCTAATGTAGATGACAGGTTAATGGGTACAGCAAACCACCATAGCGTGTGTATACCTATGTAACAAACCTTCACATTCTGCACATGTATCCCAGAACTTAAATTATAATAAAAAATTAAAAAAATTTTTTAAACTTAGAGAACCTTGAAAGATGAACAAATTTTCTTTTGGTCCTTACATATTACTAATGAACATTTAAGCATATTAGTTATTTAACAAATTATATTTCAACTTGCTATAATCTATTTTATGAACATTAATAAAAAATATTTAGTGATTGATCTATACAAAATTACAGAGTATTCAAAGTATGCAAAGGTTTAAGGCTGTCCCAAAACTCAAGAAATTAGCAGTTTATGAAGTTGAGGAAAAGCCATTATCTCAGTATTTCCAGAGGTCATTATGTTCACAGCTAGTTCTGTGGTCTGACATAATACTCTAATAGCTCTTTAAATTATATCTTCCCAAATTTTCCAGGTAGAAATAACCTCTCTCCCTCTTCCCACTGTCTCTCTCACTGTCTGTCTTTCTTCTCCAAATGCCCCATAACATTTTGTGTATATGAAGATTATAGCACTTTTTATTCTCATCACAGTCTTTAGTATAATAAGAGCCAAACTGTGGCTTCCACATGCCAAGGGCTCTATCTTAATAAAAAATAACAGTAACTTCCATTTATGAAGAAGATATTACGTGTCAAATGCTAAGTCAAATTTTTTTTAATCTTCAAAATAATTTTATAAGATAGGCATCATTAGTATTATTTCACAGGTAAGGCAGTTGAGGATTAATTACGCTGTATAACCTGCCCAAGATTTGGAAGATAGGAGTGGTGACGTACAAATGCAGGCCTCCTAACTTCTGAGATTAAGGCTTCATACCAGCTCCTAATATGCCACATTTACCTTTGTGTTTTTCCCACCCTCACCTCTCACACTTGCCATAACTCATTTAGTTGAATGAACATGAAAGAGAAAACACTGAATGTATTATCTTTTTATATCTGAGCTTCTTACGACATAAACTATACAGTCGGCTCATTTGCCAATACAAAAGATGGACCAGAAACAAAATCCTGATCTCTTGCTGCTTTAGTCCATTTTGCACAGCTATAACAGAATACAGCACACTGGGTAATCTATAATGAACAGAAATGGACTGGCTCACAGTTCTAGAGGCTGGAAAATCCAAGATCAATGGGCTGGCATTTTGTGAGGACCCTCTTGGTGTGTCATCTCATGATTGAAGCGCAAATAGGGCATGAGAGAGAGTAAGAGGAGACAAATTTGTCCTTTAAGAAGGGATCCACTCTCGTGATAATGTAATTAATTCATTCATGAGTGGAGTGTCCCCATGATTCAAACATCCCCCTTTGGGTCCCTCCTCCCAACACAGATCCATTAGAAATCAAGTTTCTGCCACTGTTGTGTCTCCCCTGCTCCAGGAGCTCCTAGGTGAGGCTACCGCAGCCCCTGTTATCCTGTGACCTGCAGGTACTGGGAGATCACTAGGGAGGACGCCAGAACATTCAGAGGCTGGAAAATGCTCTGGTGTAGAAACATCTGGTGGCAGTGCTGGAGAGAGCTGCCTATCCAGTTCAGAGAGATTCCCACTGGAAATTCTTTGTGTGAATTTTATTACAAGTAGGCCGATCTGACATATGCAGGGAGAGCTGGGTCAAGAAAAGCTACACTTCGTCTAAAGAAGTCTGGCCTCTCAGACATGATCCTCAGGAAGGGCTTCTGTGTTGCACTGAGACCCGTGGCCTGTGCACAGAGCAGCAACGAAGTTAACTTGAGCAATCTGAATTTGAGCATATCGCTGCCTAAATTTGTGAAAGAAAAGGCAAATTTTGATGAGATTCTTGGAAGTGTCTTACCCATCAATGGTTTGCTCTCTGGAGACAAAGTCGAGTTGGTCCTCATGAACTCAAAGCTGCCCCTTGCCTCTTGATGTCCTAGGCTGGCACATTAAGTGTGTCATGCCACCATTTCCTGGGCTATGAGGTTTCCACTGAAAAGTCTGCTGTGAAATAAAGGCACAGGGCTCTGAGAAATGCTTCTTTCTTATAGAAGCAATACCAGAGACTTCTCTTTATTCTTTACATCCAGTGTGTAATAAGCCAAGAAAAGTCATCACCATGAATTTATAACATGTAGCATACAAATGTTCCTTTTGAGGCTGTTGAACATGGGAAGTTGTGGATGCCCAAGATTCCTGTTAGAGTTGGGATCAGGTCCTTGGGTATCAGTGAGGAAAAAGGCAAGGTACTGTTAGCTTCCATTAACCCTATGCCAAGCAAATTATAAAAATGCACATTTGAGAGCTTCACCAAGACGGCTGAATAGGAACAGCTTCCGTAGTGCAGTTCCCAGCAAGAGCAACTCAGAGGGCGAGTGATCATGGCATTTCCAACCAAGGTACCAGGCACATCTCAATGGGACTGGTTGGACAGTGGGTGTAGCCCAAGGAGGGCAAGCCGAGGCAGGGTGGGGCACTGCCTCACCTGGGAAGTGCAGCTGACCACAGGACCATGCCTTCCCACCCAATGGAGGCCATCAGGGGCTTTTCCAGTGACTGGGCACTCCGGTTCATATACTGCACTTCTCCTGTGGTCCTTACGGCCTACAAACCAGGAGACTCCCACTGGCCAACGAGCGCCGTGGGTTGCCAGCAGAAAAAAAACCACACAAATCTAGGTGGCCATTTTAACTGGCGCCTGGAATGCCTGGGAGACAGAGCCACACATTCCCCTGAAAAAGAGGGGGCTGAAGGCAGGGAGCCAGCTGATCTGGCCCGAGAAGTCCCACCCACACAAAGACCAGCAATCTGAAATGCACTGGCTTGAGAGTTTCACAGCCAGCACAGCAGTGTGAGTTCAGCCTAGGAAGGTCAAGCTCCCTGATAGGTATGGCATCCGCCATTCCCAAGGCAGTCTGTCCATTCCCAAGGCAGTCTGCCATTACCAAGGCAGTCTGTCCATCGTTACCAACACAATCTGCCATTACCGAGGCAGTCCACTGTTACTGAAGCAGTTCAGACTTAACTTGTATAAACAAAACCTCAAGGACATTTACACAGCAGCTGGACAGAGCCCGCAGCAGCTCAGCCACACCTCTGCAGGCAGACTGTGACTACATTCCCTCCTTGCTGGGCAGGGCATCTCTGAAAAAAGGCAGCAGCATGTCAGGGACTTATAAATAAAGCCTCACCTTCCCGGGACATAGCACCTGGGAAAAGAGGCAGTTATGAGTTCCACTGCAGCAGACTTCCTAATGTAGGTGACAGAGGGATGGAGGCAGCAAACCACCATGGCATGTGTGTACCTATGTAACAATCCTGCAAGATCTGAACATGGACCCCAGAACTTAAAGTAAAATTTAAAAAAAAGAAGAAGAAATTAAGTTCCCAACGCATACACTTTACAGGATATATTTAAACCATAGAACTTGCTCTCTTCTAGAAGAAGCCTGTGTTCAGCTTTGGCCATGGTCTCTGGTTGCTTTACCCCTTTCAGCAGCCCAATGTCCTGAGATCTTTCATGTATACTTACTTTTTCTGATGTCGATCCCAGTAGTACCTTCAAGTATGCAATCCAGCATGTTATTAGATTTAATGCACTAATCTGAGTAAATTTACTGAAGGAAAGTATCTTGCTTCTCTCCTCTCAGGAAAAATGATAAATAAACCTCTCAAAACTGTAGATAATCTTATCATACTAATGAGTTTAATCTATCCATGCATACATTCATTCGCTTACTCATTCTCTCAAATGCTCCTTCATTCTTTCAACACCAAATTTTTTACAGCTTGAGATAATTTCTACCTTCAAGTTTACATTTAGTGAGGACAAGCAGAAGCTAACTGGATGATTATAACAGTGTAAACACTGACCCTTAAACACAGCAGTATGGTGACAAACTCCTGGGTTTTCTGGGATGTGGGACTTTCATTTTTTCAAAAATGGTATAGTTCCTGGCAAACTGGGACATTTAATCACCTTAGCTGTGGGAGTATAGATGAGGCAACTCATGACTTTGCTTGAAAAGGCAAATGAACATACTCCAGAAGAGGTGGTTCTAATGCTGGAATTTCAGACCAGGCAAGTGGGAGGTTCAATTCCTTACCAGCCTAGCCCAGTGGTGCCCACCTTATATTCTCCAAGGATTTCAGGAAGAAGGCTCGTGATGGGGACTGGATATTTCTTCCTCCTCCTCAACACACACACACACACACACACACACACACACATATATACACAGAGAGAGAGAGAGAAAGAGAGGAGAGAAAGAGGGGACAAGAACACAGACACAAGGAAGCAGGCACGCAGCTTTGGCCTTTCTGAATGAAATTAAGGTTTTTTTTAAAAAAAAATCTTTTAAAATTCATAATGAACCATCTTATACATTTTACCTGTTCTGTAATCAAAGCTTGAGCCATATTGCAGGGCATCTAAAGTAGAATGCTTTTTGGAATTTTAAATCTGCTGTATTTCACCCTACAGATAGCAAAGAGTGAAGAATCTTCTGAGAGGAAAGAGCAGCTAAGCATTGTAGCAGCCTTCTCATTTGCTGGGTGCCACTGGGTCACTGACGATGGTTCCTAGGGTATGGCAGAGTCACTGCAGAGGCTGTTGTGTGTGATCCAGGCAGGAGCACAGGCTGAGCCACTGCTGAGGACAGATGCTCTCTGTTCCAGAGGCAGAGCACATCTCAGGAGGCTTGCTATGTAAGGGTGGGGCAGAGCTGCCTGAAAACATAAGAACTGCTGTGATTATGATTATGAGTGCCTTTTAATTGCTGTTGCATCAGGACAAATATCTTGGAAAGGAAAAAGTAGGGCCTTGTCTTATGAATAAATGATCACTTACAATATTTAAATAGCTGATTATAATATGTAACTTTAGAATACTTGGCTTTACCTTGATGCTAAGTGCTTTCTGCAAGGGCTGGCAAATTCATGGTCAGCAGTAAGCAGCTTAGATGTCTGGTAACTTGAAATACATACTTGTGCACCCTTAAGAAAACTTGTGTACATCTGAGTAATGGATAAATCAGAACGTATTTGATTATGTAATATGGAGATTTAGGATAATTATTTCAGGAATGTATCAGAAAATGTGTTGTATTGAAAAATGATTTGTATTGAATGTATTGAAAAATGATCTGCTTTTAATTGTCCATTTCCAAAACAAAAAACAATCTTGAAGTTTACATAAAGCTAAGTTTGGTTGAGAATGAAAGTTATTTTCGCAATTCCCTAGTCTCCCTTCTATGAAGTAAAACACAAGTCTGGTATAACATAGTGGAAAAGTTTTACTGCAAACCATAGTTTATTACAGGACATGATCCACCCAACATAAAGAAGTAGAAAACCTTTTGCTGAGAGGTAAAGGAGAGGAATTTAGAGACCGTGTCTCTAGGATGGGAATGTTGCTGCAAGGGTCCCTGAAAGCAGACCTAGCACCTTGTATCGACGGGTCCTTGAGCAATCACATCCCAACGAAACCCAGCTAGGTTGTCGGGGAATGAAAGAACACGCTGGCTGTTGCTCTGTTTCTGGGGTCAGAATGGTGGAAAAGCAATGAAGCTGTGGGCAGAGGGAATTTTCTTGATAGATGGACCTGTAATAGTCTACAGTCTTCCACAGACTGCCTACAGGAGCCTGGATCCATGTAGGAGAAAAGGAAGGGGCCCAAGGTCAGAAGACAAAGCCTGCAGGGCAGGATTTGGCGGACTTTGGTCTGCAGGCCAACTCCTGACACAGCCTACCTTTTTATGGCCCTGAGAAGGGTTTGCTTTTTTTTTTTTTAATTTTAAGGGAATATAGAAAAGATGATGGTGAAGTAAGAGAAGGAAGAAAATGAGAGGAAAAGGAGGAACAGAACAATAATAAGAAGAAAAGTAATGTGGCAGAGACTGCATGCAAAGCCTAAGGTACTTACTTTCTGTCTCTGCATAGAAGTTTGCTAAGCCCTGGTACAGAGCACAGGGACCTCATACGACAAATCACAGTCACTGCAGACTTTGGCATTAGGAGCCTGGACAAGCCCAAAAGTCCAAGTGCCGGTAGGAACATCCAGGTAGATAGCAGCAGAGTCCACAGCAAAGCAGACAGGCCACTAAGGAAAGCAGGAAGGAGAGCTATGTCACAGAAGCTTCTCTTCATAAGTCCATGAGGATAAATAAGGTTCATCCTGAATCCAGACACAACTCAGAAATGAGGAGAAGGAAGGAAAACTCTGATGGGAAAGGACAAATGATTGGGAGTCTGAACTTTAACCGAGTATCACATGAGGCTGAGTTAACCTGAAAAAGATGGTCTAAGCTTAAGGCTCTTCTTTTTTGTATTTCTTTTAAGAGATGGGGTCTCACTCTGTTGCCCAGGCCTGTCTTGAACGCATGACTTCAAGGCTGGTCTTGAGCCCCCCACCTCAGCCTCCCATAGTGCTAGTTTACACGCCTGAGCCACCGTGCACAGCATATATATATATATATATATATATATATATATATATATATATATAATATGTATAATGTGTACTGTGTGTATACATATATATATATATATATGTTTATATATAATTTTTATCAGTTTTATCTTAATAAAGCAAGAAAAACTGGAACATTTTGAACTTAGAACTGCAGTTCCCAACCTTTTTGGCACCAGGGACCAGTTTCGTGGAGGATAATTTTTCCACAGATGGAGGGGAGAGGGAGAGAAGTGCATGTTTTCCGGAGGAAACTGTTCTATCTTAGATTATCAGCCATTAGATTTTTATAAGGAGCACAGAGCCTAGATTGCTCCTTGAGCAGTTCACAGCAGCGTTCCTGCTCCTATGAGAATGGAGTGCTGCCGCTTATCTGACAGGAGGCGGAACTCAGGCAGTGATGCTGGCTCACCCACCACTCACCTCCCGCTGGGTGGCCCCATTCCTAACAGGCCATTGACAGACACCAGTCAGTCTGTGGCTTGGGAGTTGGGGACCTCTGCCTTAGAAAGTGTGATCTTTAGGTGTTTCC